AGACCCCTTTTTATGGAATTATTAACATCCACCTGAAACTTCGTAAATAGTTTCATCTCATCGTAACCGACAAATATTTTATTTACAAAAACTCTTGGAATTGGGGCGTTTTCAATCTGGTGGGGGCAAACTTTGTCTATTTAATTGGGTACTAAAAATTCGTAAATGCACATTTGCATCCTACTTGGATCGTAAGATAATTTGATAACAAAATCGAGGCGTGACCTACAAACTCTAATTTTTAAAATAACGAGGTTATACAGGACAAACGGCCCAACATTTTTGTAGGCCACCTTTTTTATCGATTTTGTAATCAAATTACCTTAAGATCCAAGTAGAAAGCAAATGGGTATTCACGAATTTTTAGTACCTAATTAAATATACAAAGATTGTCCCCCTCCAGATTGAAAACTCCCACATTCCAAGAGTTTTCGTAAATAAAATAGTTGTAGGTTACGATGAGATGAAACTATTTACGAAGTTTCAGGCAGGATGTTAATAATTCGATAAAAAGGGGTCTGTACCACGGAATATAGATGCTTCAAATTACTGATGGAGTCTCATGAATGTGAGAACGATTTGAACCCAAATATTGAAAAAAAAAATTGATTTAATTCTTTTTTTTTTTTTTTTTTATTTCATATTGAGTATTATAACAATCTGTCTCTTGGACATTGGTTATAGTGAGGTAGGATGACAAATTTAATTGACAGATTTAATTTTTAAAATCGTAATTTTTTTTTTAAACCAAGTACCATCATCAAAGTCGTGATAATATCATTGTAACCACTAGCGGATCCAGGATTTAATTTTGGGAGGCTTCAGCCCGAAAGCTTTTTTTTCATATACATATAACGATAATTATTTTGAAAAAAAAAAAAGAAATATACTAATTACCTCTATGATAGTGTTTATGTGCTTCTTGAAGTGCTATTAAATGTAATTACACAAACAATAATACTTTAAGAGATCATTTTTTAATATTTTTTTCCATAAAACCATTTTACCATTTTGGTGGGGGGCTTCAGCCCGAAAGCCCCCCTCTCCCGTAGATCCGCCTGTGGTCGTAACCATGTTAAAGTAACGAATATGATAATCTGCCCAATGTAAACATATATTAGGATTATTCTTTATTACTACAGGAGCATATCTAAAGGCTACAAATTCGTAAAAATAACATCGCTGTTTCTACTCATCCGATCGCAGTTCAAACACTACATTTGCCTTAGCATCCACTACCAAATAGACTACATATAGAGGGAAAAATTGCATAAAACTTTTTCCCGGCATTTTGCATAAAACGGTTCAAGTTAATGTTCCTCAAATATACCTAACTGACATTTCAATGCACTATTGCACTTTTTTATGATTGGTTCTATTTTTTTCTCCGTCATTTTGTAAGTCTACAACTTTACTTCCGCGAAAAATACCTTATCATTACTACCTTGCAGTTTATGCTATCGAAAAAACAGTTGTACCTTTAAAGGGGAGTCTCGATGAACACTTTCGCTATACTTTCTAATCTAATGGGGATGGTATACACCTTGCGGTCACCGCCGCAATGCTCTTCCACTTCCTCAAATAGAGGAAAGGTCGCCTCCCTTTTTTTTTTAGGTTTTCGCTCTTATTATGTGATTGCACGATATGTCCATGCATTTTTTCCCCTCTTTCTCGCCTCTACCATAAAGGGTCATTGGCGTTTATCTATAATTTATATTCTGTTATAGTAATTTATAAACTACGAAATTCAACAAGATAGACACTTGTTCTTAATTATCTAATAGTATATCTCTTAGTGGTTTTTTTTTGCCCCTAGATCTATTTTTTTTCTGTATCTTTCGAATTGGGAACATTCTACCATCAATTATTTCACAGTTAGAGGTGTATTATGGCAGTTTTCGCAAGTGGGAGCTTCCAGACCAACTTCGATAGTAGCAATATCTGAACTGGCAGTGCCTAGTATTGCCCAAAATTGGTCTTGGTCTTGGTCTTGCAAAGAGCTTGCAACGCCGCCTACTTATTGCAAGACCAAGACCAGATTGTCAAAAAAAAAAAATCATTTTTGTGAAAGAAAATTGAGGCAAAATATTTACTAATACTAGACAATTATAGTTAATATACCCAAAAAAATCGGTTGAAACAATATACTTTTGCATTTAAATCTTCCAATGTTTCGTTAGGGCTTAGTTAGGTTCCTCCATTCTGAAAAAAGACTGCAATATCTCTATAGTAATAAGCTAATAGGTAACTGTAAGACTCTAACGCAAGACCAAGGCCAAGAAGTAGCTGAGTACGCAAGACCAAGACTCGTCTTGGTCTCGCATTTGGACAACGCTAGCAGTACCCAATCCCAATTAGATTTCACTTCTTTCAGCTTACACTATTTCATTTTCTACTCTTTTTCCACTCTGCCAATTGCTTTTTGGTGTACCCAGTCTTCTAAAGTAATATATTTCACTCTAATTACTACAACTTCTTCTCCATTTCTTGCTAAATGGACTGCATGGTCAGATTTTTCATCCCTAAAATTCCGCAATGATCTTTTACCAATACGAAGACTACTGATATTCCTTTATTTTTTATCTCCCTCCAGTTGTTTTATTATTTCTCTAATTATAGAGTTTCTAGAGTATGAATTATCTATGGCAGTTAAAACAGATTTTTAAAACCCAGCAGTTCTTTTTAGAAATGGATTTTGTACCAAATATAAGCTCCTTTCATGCCCAAATACCATGAATGGAGTACCATTGGATTCAGGATTGCACAGGGGATTAGGAAATCGTACTCTCCACTTTTGTTTTTCTTTCTAAATAAACAGAGTCAATTTAAACACGCCGCTAGGCTTCAATACTGAGACAGTGCCAAGTCTGTGGATCGAGAAGGAAGAGATTGGGATTTGAAGATTTTTATGCGGACATCAGACCTGGTTGTAAAGTATTGCCTCCGAAGGAACTATCGAGCTTTGCGTTTTAAAGCCCAAAAATTGTCGAGATTCTGCAAGACAAAGGGTTTGCAGTCACACAACCTCACGTTAATTGTAGTGTTGCTATCTCGTGTCGTCAACAAGACTCCAATGAACGAGAGATGAGATTATATTATTTCTCAAAAAAAGTTTTTTTGTCGGTACGACATAGCTTTCTTAATTCTTCATCAAATCCGACAATTTAGACGCTATTTCCAAGATCTCCTTCAAGTGGAAAGTATAGTCCACATTACCCCGAAATTTCAGGCAAAAAAGTTTTGAAAGAAAAGAGACTTTATTTGCGAATAACTCAAAAAGTATACACTGAAAAAACAATTTTATTCTGGGACTAAAGTCCTCTAAGAATAATAATAACATGGTACAAAACATTGGTCCTTTAGCCTGGTTTGACAGAATACATAGAGGTCATTTGAATGTTAATTTCAATTATTATCGCAATCATACCTGAATAAGAATAGTAAACACTTTAACGCTAGTACACTATATATGGTTTACATGTATACAAAGAAAAAGTAAATAAATAAATTAAATTAAATTAAATGAAACTGGTCGATTAATTGTTAGTGAGAAGTTGTAATTACAGAAACCGATCAGTATTACATGGGGACGGAAGTTTGAAAATGAAGTAGGTGGTGGAATAAGAGCTGCTTGAAGGAATTTAAGGTTGAGGATTGCCGTATTGGTGATAGGTAAAGAATTCCTGAAGGAGATAATGGGAAACATGAGAACGCCTGGGAATTTCGAAGATGAATCTTATAAAACAGTTCATTAGTCTCTTTGATCTCACCTCCAGTCTTTCAGGCAGCCATGATTTGAAGTGAAAACTTCCTTAGGTTTTGAGCTTTATCATTTGTGGAGAGTGAATCACATTGATCCGTCAGATCTCCGATGTGTAACACTCGGGTAAAGTCGGCTGGAGTCGACTAATGGAAGCATTTTTGCATACGGATTAAAATACTCAAAAACTAACTAAGTCGGACCTGCATACAAGGGTAGGCAAGGGAATTATTCAACATTTCATCCTCTGTCTAATGGGTTATCAGTCAAAATTGTATCTTTTGTCGTACGGCGTCGCGTATTAGAGAGACAAAAAGAGATAGTGTAGAAAACCAAATGATAACGAGTTTCATTGAAGATATGGATTAAAATAGCTCAGAAACTAAAAATCGGACCTGCATACAGTAAACAAGGGAATTGTTCAGTATCTCATCCTCTTTATAGTGAGCTATTATTTATAATTTATATTTCATATTATTAATCTCGCCTTGTTGATGTTCGCACTTCCATTGTGTGGTCTAAAGCATATACCTTAGTTTTTATTTTGTATACAAACAAATTTCAAAAAAACAAAAAGTAATCATACCGTTATAAGTAATGATGCAGCTTATTGAAATTTGTAAACGAGTTGATTTAAAACATGAATGAATTGATTTTTTAATTTTCTTGGGCGAGTACAATAAGAATTGATTCATCCATTTTATGATAGATTTCATTATTTTATGGTCTTGTTATTTCGTTATCTGATCACTGACCTACAATATGCAAATGATTCGCTCGAGCCAACTAGTTCGCATATTAAAGTCTATGTCCAATAACAATTTCTAATCGGTTACCAATACATCATGTAAAATGGTCTTATTATTTATATATATATATATATATATATATATATATATATATATATATATATATATATATATGGTGAAATGTTTATTGTTTAATATGGTTTTATTATTGATAACTTGTAAGTGTATTGTTATGAAAGGGAAGAAGAAAAAAGAAAAGAAAGGAAAGATATGTCATATATATATATATATATATATATATATAAAAAATAGAAAAATATAATATAAAATTAATGTCCGTGTAGGTTGATAAGTATGCTGTGTACGAAGCAACCCTATGTAGTATGCCAGCATTACTTGTAATAAAGTATTTCTCTCTTTCTGATTCATCATATCAAAACTGTTTACAATATAATACAAATGATTACCAAAAAAAAAATTCTATCACTTACTTGTTTCATTTACCCGGTCGCCAAAGACTTCTACAGTTGTCTCAGGCTGGTTTGTTTCTCCAGGTTCCATTAAACGTTCATCCATTCCTAAAAAAATTAAAACAAAAATTATAATTAGATTGCGTATGTCATACGTTATAATTATTATATCATTATATAAATAGACAAACGCAAAACGGTTCAGCCCCTTTTACTCCTTTATTATTCAACTGATTTTCTTCCATCCTTTTTTTTTTTTATAGATATTGACGAGCTTTAGTGTTATCAATAAATAAAAATATTAAATATTATGTAAATAAAAATATAAATGGTAGTTTTTTAGGGCTATGCACTAAACAATAACATAACATTCAAAAAGAACATCGTTTACAGAGAAGTTCTGAATAAAAATGGATTTAAAGAAAATTGAAATTGCTAATTTAAATTTACTTTTTAATTGCTTAATCATAACATTAATTTATTGTGATAATAACACACATGAATTAAAATGGAAATTAAATATTTTTGAATGAGTTTATTTTGTAGTACTTGTAAATAATTTTAAATGAGTTTAAGCTCGATTTTTAATTGAAATTGAAACTTTGTTTATATTAATTAATGATGATTTTTGAGTCGTGATTTACTGTATATTTTTTATTTATTTTTTATTTGATTTTATGTTTTCCTCAAATTTGTAATGGCTATGGTCGAATTTCGACCACTGGGCGAACACTAGTATACGTTAAACAACGCTCATGTGAAACGTAATTAAAAAAATTTGACTGAGAGGTTCATTTTTTTTCCTGGTCGATTTCTATGAATACAAATTAAACTAGATGAATAATAGAGAAAAAAGTAGACAAATCATAATTAAATAGCATTTTTATTTAAGCTTCTTAATATTTACGATCATAAGTGAATCCCATCACTATTAATTTAATTTTATATTATAGAAAAATATAGGTATGAAAAAAAAATTACAATAAAAATAAAATTATTTGTTCTGTTTCTAGGAGTTTATTTGCGAAATCCACGATTTACAACTAAAAAAGTTGAAAAATTATCAGAAATTTTAAAAAAATGAATCAGCCTCAACGTATTAATTAAGCGTATTAATCAGCTTAGCATGATTGTACTTAAAAGCCAAGGTAAAGACTTACGTACATTTATCTTGAACCTGTAGTACTCCCGAAATGGAATGTGATTACTACTATATCCTAATCATCTAATTTATCTCCTGACTAATTTGAGGTTTCTTCATGATTGAAAGGTTATATATATTATCATTGCAGTGGAATTCGATAAGTTCAATGTGTCAAGTTTGATAAGTGATTATCGTTGGGTGTATGTAATATTTCAGTCGATTTAAAATTGATATAACTGCAGATTGTACTATAATGAATGGCCTGTTAAATTTATTTTCTAAAGCTCTCGGAGATAACGTATGATATTAGGGATTGGTTGCAATTGCGGAGTTTCTGGATGCTTGGAGTTTATAATTTTAAGGAGTATAATTTATGTGCAACATTTGGTATATTTATGGATAGTTTTACTCGTTACACAATAAAGGATTCTATGAAATATTTTTAATTATATAGACTTGGTGTGAATGTGTTTTATTTATTTTATTATCATTCGGCTTCAATCTTTTATTTTATTTATGTTGTATATATGTATGTTAATTCTCTTTATCTTATTTACTTTATTTACTTATATTTATTTTTTCTTTCATGTGTACATATGGTGTGAATGAATACTAAAGATAGTACCAGTGACCTTCAGTGTGGCAGATTGTATTAATATTCAATAAAAAAATTGTTGAATTGTTAAAAATTATATAGAGCAGTCGAGAAGAATTGAACATTTAAACCCAGGCCCTCTGAAACATTTTAATAAATTATATTTAGCTACTACGGTATTATTTTTTAGGACACTATATGTTTTTATATATGGTGTTTTCGAGGCGTGGGCGGATTTACGGAGGGGGGGAAGCTTTGGGGCTGAAGCCTACCCCAAAATGGTAAAATCTAACCATGTTTTATGGGAAAAAAATATTAAAAAATTATCTCTCAAAGTATTATTGTTCGTGTAATTACATTTAAAAGGACTTTAGGAATCACTTAAACACCATTTCATATAGGTAGTTAGTTTCGTTCTTTTTTTTCCAAAGTAACTATCGTTATTTTTATGAAAAAAAAAAGCTTTCGGGCTGAAGCCCCCCCAAAATTAAATCCTGAATCCGCTAGTGCTTCGATGGATACATAAGCTCTTATACTTTAAAATTTATTAAACATTCAACGACGTTTCGAGCTGATTTGCTCGTTCTCAAGTCATCTACAATAATAATTAGCAAACATAATTGATAACAATGATCACTCATTATCTAGTCATACAAAAAAAAATATAAAATGTTTTCATTTTATATTTTGAAAACCTATTTCTGTATTATAATTTCATTAATTATTCATTTTCCGTACACCAAAATGGCATTTCAACAAATTTATAATGCCAATCAAAATAACAAATAAATTAAAAATATTCCCAAATTGTTACATCGGTTGGTTTAATATAGTTCAATTTGTTATAATAACGTATAATGTACATATGCTGTAGCTATCTGCTAAATATAATATTTTTTCTATGAATATTTAAATATGAATGTTTATGCAATCGAAAACGTCAATCAAGTAATGCCAGTTTAGCTTCCTCACTTCACCATTTCGCATTGATTACACAATTACCTACATTTTTAGTTATATATTTTTTCATTTGAAAATAAAATCTTCTAAAGAAGCAGTTTTTCCCGGATTTGATCAAAAAAGGGATACAAAAATCGATAAACGAAATACATACAAGAAACATTTCGGATCAACGAATACAAAAATGCGAAAGAGTTCCACATTTCCGATATGCGTATTTGACTCTTGGTGAACACAAAAAAAATGAAAAGCATAAACAACATACAGTAAATTATGAATGTAGATATTGTAGCTAATAGGTATTTTTTCACTTGTAAAATGTTCGGAACAAAAATCCATTTAAAAAATAAATTTTTTCACGGTTCAAAATCAATTTTTCCACGGTTTAAAATCAATGATTAAAAAAAAAATCAAATCTGATCAAATTTTTTATCTGGAATTTTAAAAAATCATTTCATGCACTACCATTTTAATTAAAAGCTGTTTTTATTTTTGATCATAAATGACAAAAATCATACCCTGATCATTATTTTTTAACGAAATTTTTGACAACTAACAATAATAGTAATTCTTGAGTAAAACTTTTTTTTAAATCAGAAATATATATTTTTTTTGTAATCGCTCTGATATATTTTGAGGAGAATTTTGCTGTCAACTATTAGCAACAGAACATCTTTATTTTCGAAACTTATTAGAAATGTTTGCTATTAACAAAATATATATAGAGTGCAGGTACTATATGCACAATTAAAGGGATTTCGGAAATATAATATTAAAAATGAGTGCGTTAATAACGTATACATACATATTAATATTTAATTAAATTTGTGTGAAAAAAGTGATTTTTATTTTCTAATCAAAAATTTTTTATATCATTAGATCGTTATTTATATACATAATAATCGTGTCACTCAGTGAGTGATCATTATTTGTAACCCAATCAATAAACATCAAAGATCGATTTAATTTTTACTTATAAATCAGACATGGTTTTTAAATTAAAAATTAAATACAACGATTATTTCATGATTTTTTTGAAAAAATACTTATCGATTTCAAATCTTGCTATTTTTCGTTGGCTCTATGTAAACAAAAACCGAAATTTTCCGCACGTAAGCCAAAAACTAATTTAAGATGGAATAAACGATAGTCCGTGGTACCGGCCCATTTTTATCAAATTATTAACATCCGGATGAAACTTCGTAAATAGCTTCATCTCATCTTAGCCTACAAATATTTTATTTACGAAAATTCTCGGAATTGGGGCGTTATCAATCTGGAGGTCGACAAACTTTGTCCATTTAATTAGGTACTAAAAACTCGTAAATACCCATTTGCTTTTCACTTTAATCGTCAGATAATTTGATCACAAAATCGATAGAAAAGGTGCCCTTCAGAAATATTGAGCAGTTTGGCGTGATCTACACCTCCAAATTGTCAAAATAACGAGGCCAAACATACAGGCCATACATAGATCATACAGGCCAAACAGCTCAATATTTTTTAAAGCCACCTTTTTTCTTGACTTTGTGCTCAAGTTATCTTACGATTAAAGTGGAAAGCAAATGATAATTTACGAGTTTTTAGTACCTAATTAAATAAACAAAGTTTGTCGACCTCCGTTCGTACGACAAAGTTCGTACGATGTTTCACGCGGATGTTAATAATTTGATAAAAAGGGGGTCTGTACGACGGACTATATGATATGAGTGACATATGGCAAATTACATGAAAATAAGGTGTACATACATACTTAACATTTATTGACTTCTTACCGTTCAACAATAACTACATCGAAAAGCTGACCCCTGACTACTTCGAAGTTTAGGAGGGAAATGGAGACCACAACAAGCTGGTTAAACTTCAAAAGAAACAAAACAAATGAGACGTTGTTTTTGATGTTAATTACGTAAACATTTAAGGTGATTCGATATAATGAAATGCATATGTTAAATAAAATTTTGCGTTCTCGTAGCCTTCACAAAGTGTATTCATATAGAAACTATGAATTCATAAATATGAGATTCGAGAGGTTATTTTTCTGGAAAATAACCGTGGTAAATGTTATGGGACAACCGTAAATAGCATCAGTTTATTGCAAAAACTCATTACATTTCATAACCTTAAATAACTTAGAACTTTGAAGAATTTTCCTTTTGCGAAATAAAAAAAAAACAACTAAGATGTGTACTTTAGACCACACGATAGAAATGAAAACAGCTACAAGACGTGATTAATAATATGAAATATAAATTATAAATAATAGCTCATTATTAAGAAAGTCAAATGCTGAACATTTCCCTCGCTTACAGTATACAGGTCCGATTTTTAGCTTATGAGATATTTTAATCCAATCTTCCATAAAACCCTTTAATTTGGGTATGCGGTTCTATTGTATCCTAGTATTTTTCAATTATTTTTATTACATTTTTCCAGTTTATATTGGTAAATAAATTTTCTACATCAAAACAGACCAAACAATATTTGGCTATTGTCTATTTTTTTATTCGTTCAAGCATTTGATTCACCTCCATAGAGTTTTTTCATCATTGCTACTATCTGATTTTAGGTTATCGAGTGTGGAATTGAGATATATAGCCAAATTTTTCAGTTTCCCCATTGATATTACTGATGATAGGACTAAGTGGAGCGCCACTTTAATGTAACTTTACGTATAAATGTATTCTAGGTATATTGTAGCTAGGGTTAATTAATTTAATTTCGTTTAGTAAGAAATTTTTAAAATTAATAACAATGTTCTATTGCATAAGCAAAGTCAATATAAAAATATCCTTAATGTTTTATAATGTACTTATTTAATTTAGTTTATGTTGTATCCAACGAGTGTATAATATTTACGCGGAAATCTCCTATTGGAAAGTTATGTAATGTTATATTATTATATATCTTCTATTATGCTTAAGAATTTCTGCTATTATTATCACTTATATTATTTCTTTTTATATTATTTTTTATATATTGTTAATAATGGCAAAATCAAATTTCGATGTTGTAGTAATATTAGCATGAACTCGTTATCATTTAGTTTTGGACACTATCTTTTTCCCTCTCCTACTCTCTAACAAGATGTTGGGTTAAGATACGATTTTGAATAATAGCTCATTACAAAGAGGACAAAAGGGTTCATACGTGCTTAAGATTTGTCTTCCGTACATCGAGGCGGTCTCATCTTGTCCCACCTTTACGACGAGTTAAAGTGGCTCTTCCCCTCTTTCCGCAGACATTATTTCCTTGAATCTTTCCTATTCCAAACAATCAACACCAGACACCCTTCTTACATCTACAGTCTCCTACAGTTTAAACCCGTGGTCCACTCCGAGAAAACAAGATCCCGTGTTTCCGACCTTTATATCCCTTCCCTAGAACTAAGACGTTTGAATATTCCTTTATTGCCCGATCCACTGCCTTCTGGAATTCCTTGCCATCTGATATCCGCCATGCCTCTTCCTTGTCCTCATTTAAATATCATCTTTACCAATTCCTTCTCACATCCCAAAATGACGTTATACAATGAAATAAATATTGCGAAACAGATTTGGACTGAGATGAATG